ACACGTACATGCATGCATGCCTTCGTGTTGCCTGCCTCTACATCCGGTTTCGTGGCTTTCCCTTGTTCCTCTCCCGCCACCTGCTCAATGATCACCTCATCATCACACCATTTCATCATCATCACCACCACCATCGCCACCACGACAGCGACGTGTCACAGTTGGATGCAGACAGTTTCCTCTCTGCCACCGCCCCTGCGGCCTCCGCCTCCATCACCGCTGCTGACGACGACGAAGAGGAAGACCTGGTGAGGGTTTGCACTGGTGATTGCAGTCGCCGTGGTGGTACTTTTGTTCAAAGGACCGTATGTTTGTGGTCGTTGTGGGCGCGTTGTCCACAGGCCAATCCATGCTCTACCTGCTGCGAACGCGCAGCACCGCCATCACTGTGTCCCTCACCACTGCTTCGCTCTGCTTGGATCTGTCTCTGCTTGTGCAGCTGGATGAGCTGTAAAGACTGGGCACCTCCTGACTCTGCTTTTGCCCCCGCCCCCGTTGCTTATTGCTGGTGTTTGCTGTCGCCATTGCTGCAGCATCTCTTGTCTCTTGTTGTCGCGCTTGCTTGCTTGATTGCTTGTTGCAGTAAAGGAAACTACTGTGAAGCAACAGAATGAGAAGGGTTGACTTGCTTTTTATGTTGTTAGATTGACACAACAGCCGGACGGTTTGAGAATGGCGCGCACTTACGTTGGCACGATCAATGTACAGGTGCACACACACACACACACACACACACACACACACACACACACACACACACACACACACACACACACACACACACACACACACACACACACACACACACACACACAGGTGTGCGCACTGTGGTGGTCAGGTGTGGGTGTCGGAGCCAAGCACAATGTCGTGCTCGTTTGGGCGCAGGCCCTCAGCTCGCACACGAAGCGTTTCTGCACACGGCCCGCACACCCGCACCGTCGACGCCGCCGCATTGCCTGCACACATGCACACATGCACACACACACACACACATATGGAAGGAAGCAAAGCATGTAAGCACATACACACACACACATACATACACACACACACGCACAAACATACATACACCAGAGAGGCGGTTGTGGCCCAACACGCGCATGCAGGCGCACATGAACAGTCAAGCCGCACAGTAAACGCACGCAATCACAGTGCACACACAAACGCAGAGCCAAACAAACTAAACAAACCACAAGAACACACACACACACATATGCACACACACACACACATGCACACATGCACACATGCACACATGCACAAATGTACACGCACACACGCACACATGCACACATGCGTTGCGCCATACCGACGGTGCCGAGAGCAGAGCGCTTGACTTTGACGGCACAGCGGCTGCAGATTGGTGACCCGCAGCTGTTGCAGTCGTACTGTCATCGCAAAACGCGCACACATGCAAACACACACACACACACACACACATACATACATACACACACATGCACGCACACGCAGCAGTGGCAGCGGCAGTGGATTGTGGATGGTGGAGATGCACACATGTGAGCACGGTATGATATCGTGCATCCCACACAAGTGATAGCTGAAGGGCCGCTCAGGTATGCGCACACACACACACGTGTACGCATGCGTACATACATACGCACATACATGCGCACACACACACACAAGCCGACACGGTGCTCACACAAACACACACACACACACACACACACAGACCTTTGAGCGCATGATGTTGAAGGCGGAACCGCACTGTGCACATGCATGGTGGTGGTGCTGTGCCGCTGCTGCTGCTGTCCGCCGCGCGTGCACTGATGCCGACAACGACGATGACGATGACCGTGGTTGTGCTGCTGCTCGCGGCGGTGGTGCCGATGCGCCAGACCGCCGTCGCAACGCACTCGTGGACGCCGGCACTCGCCTACGCAGCCCCAGTGGTTGCAGTGAGTTGGGCACACAATTACGCATGCAAAGCACAGACGCTACGGTGCAGCGGACAAAGCAACCACTAGCAGTAGCAGTAGTTGCAGCAGTGGTAGTTGCACCAATGGTGGTGGTAGGCAAGACAGCACACTGCAATGCTCACGCAAACAAAGAGCCACACGCATGCACACACACTCACACGCACACGCGCACACACTCACTCACACACGTGCACATACCTGGATAAGGGTGGGTCGAGGGAGCTGGTTGATACAGGCGTGCTGTGAGCCACCGAAGCACGTTGGTGGTGATGCTGTTGCAGGTGCAGCCACACGCGCGCACGAAGCAGAGGGAGATGAGACAAGTGAGGCACCACCAACAACAACAACAACAGCAGCAGCAGCAGCAACGTGACTTGGTCACTGAAAGAAAAGCACAAGCAGGTGCAGACGAAGATCAAGAAAGACATTGTGGAGGCTGACAGGAGAGGAACAGGGAAGAAGAGGGGAACACGATCAAGCACAACACAACGCAACGCAACGCAACATAGGCAGGTGACAGAAAAACAAACAACGGCAGCGACCAAAGAGTATAGCAGCAAGGGGCAGCCAACACAGCGACACCGCCAACGCGCCTACCCTCTCATGCGTACACACCTTATCGACGTCCACCCAGACAAACCCACCGTCGTTGTACACGGAGACGGAATCCGGCGTCGCACACCTGAAGCGCCGCGCCCCGTGGGAAAACAATCGTCAGCAGTCAAGGCAGCAACAGCAACAACCGAGGTCGTCGCGCAGACACCACATTGATCACACAACGGGGCATCACAACACAGCACGACACCACACATACCTTTGTTGGAGATGCGACGAGCCAAGAGCAGCCATGGTTCTGCGTGTTTGGTCACTCAACGGCGCACCGGTGGTACTGCCGCTCCCGTTCCCCGCAACACTGCCTCCGTCCTCATCGCCATCATCGCCATCACCATCTTCATCATCATCATTGTCACCGCCTGCCGTTGAGAGCCGGTCTGTCCCGCCGCCACCACCACGCTGGCTGCTGCTGTCTTCGAGTGCGCCCGCGTTCAGCTCTGCCTGCATTTCGTGCAGGTGTTTTGAAATCTTTTCCCTGTTTGCCTCGTCCTGTTCCACGAGCGGCCGTACCTCTGCAGCCTCCTCAGCAAGGTCCACAGGCGGCAGCGCAGGGATGTAGAAACTTCGGCAGGCCCGCCCTAAATGCGTTTCAGCTGCGAACACAGACACGACCATGAATGCAAAGACATATTCCTTTGGCATTACCAGCACCGCCGCAGCAACACCAATGATGTTCCCAATGAACCTGTTATGGAAGGTGTGCGTGTGTGTGTGTGTGCGCGCGCGCGCGCGTGTGTGTGTGTGTGTGTGTGTGTGTGTGTGTGTGTGTGTGTGTGTGTGTGTGTGTGTGTGTGTGTTCATTGTGAGAAAGAAAAATGGAGGTAAAAGCAGCGTATCTTCAGGTGCGCGACGAGGGTGTGGTCATGACGCAATCACTGCAGACAGCGATCCACCCGACCACAGCGTTATCGTTGGGTGTTTCCAGAACAGCAGCCTGGGAGAACAACAATTAGGACGACCAAAGAAATGAAGGGGAGGTGCACACGAGGCAGTGGGGCAAGCTGATGAGCAGACACAGGCGGTGGAGTGGATGTGTATTCAGGCGAAGAAGGACAAAGACAAACACCTGCACGCTCACAAAAACTAACGCTCACAAACACTCACGCACACACACACACACATACACACACACACATACACACACACACACACATACATAGACACACACGGTGTTCCACAGTACGCACGTGCGTATGGAGATGAGCAGTTTCATTGCCGCCAGCATGGAGGACTGCAGCATCAGCAATCTGCAAACATGACACAATACCCAATACGCAGGTGCATGGTGACACGTGTCAGATGGTGGCAGGTAGACGAGAGAAGTCAGTGATCAAGGTTGCATGCAGGCTGTGGTGTTGCGCGCAGGTGTGCGTTGTGCTTGTACGCACATGTGATGAAAGCGGTTGAGTTTCCTTTGCATTGCCGCCTCCTGTAGATGAGACCATGCAAAGAGTTGTGTGCGTTGGACGTCAGAAATGTGAACCATGCGCATCAGGCAGCGTGATGGTGAAACAGCTACGCATTGCGTTCGGCTGTGCGAGCGCTCAGTTGCCTCGCAACTCCCGCGTACACAATTGACGTACCTGTGACATCTTGGGCAGTGCGCGCGTGTAGCTGTCCACAGCTGTACAAACACACGCACAGACGCCAACACACAGACACAAACGTAGATCATCAGAAGCACCGCAGTCCATGATTTCGTGCAACCATGCAGCGCACACCGGTTCATGCGCTCGTGATAGCGCAAGCAGGGTGCAGCACCAGGCGCACCTTTGACGAGATCGGCATCAAAGAGGATGGCAGAGACGTCGCCTCGCATGTAGTAGCGATACCACAAGCAGGCGAGCATCGACGACGCCACAAAGAACGGGACCAGCACTGGTAATGTGCATCGGTGCACAGTTGGTTTGAACAAGATGGCAAAGTGAATTGTTCGCAGCACAAACGTTGGAGACGACGGTCTGACCGTCGTATTTGTGAATGTATGTGTGTGTGTGTGTGTGTTCAGGGCAACGGACGCAAACAATCTGGGCCAAGCAACACACACGCATACAGACACGGATACACACACACACACAACGTGACGCACGCGGAAGGAAGCTGCAAAGCAAGCAGACCGCAAGCACCACGAGCGTTGCTTTTGGGTTCTCCCAGCTGTTGTCAAGAAAACGCAACCCCATCACGACACAGTCCATGGCGCAGAGCGGGTGTGAGATTGCACGTTGTGGCTGTGAACAAGCAAACTCGCAAGCCTGCGCAAGATGCAACACAAAGCAAACAAACACACACAAACACAAACACAAACACAAACACAGACACACACAAACACACACGCAAACATAGAGACTGACCTGAGGATGTAGCGAATAGCGCTGCCGATTCGAATGAAAGGGTGCAGCTCGAGGACGAGGCGGTCAAAGGCGTCAGCCATGAGACCAATGTCAACTTGTGGTCGCTGGACTTGATTTGCGTGTTCGTCAACATCTGTGTTCTGATCCTTGTCACTGTCTGTGCCCCGCTCAGGACCATCGCCACCGCGCCCACCGCTGTCATCATGCGTGCCAACAACGGTATCCCTTCTTCGCTGGCCCGTCCCTGTCCTGTCAGCTGCACCCGCCGCTGCCGCTGCTGCTGCACTACTTGTTCCTGTGACGCTCCCTGCGCCTGATGTGCGACGCTGTGTCATCATCGTCTTTTTGTTTGGCTCAAGTTGTGGCGATTATTGAATGATTCCTGCCAATTTTCGGCAGATCGACAACGGTGGTGAACGAGTGCACCGACCGACATCCACAAGAAGCCCACACACACACACACACACACACACACACACACACACACACACACACACACACACACACACACACACACACACACACACACACACACACACACACACACACACACACACACACACACACACACACACACACACACACACACACACACACACACACACACACACACACACACACACACACACACACACACACGCAGCTGGAGCGATGGCCGTGGCACCTGCGTTGGTTGCGCTGGCGTGTTGCTTGTGTGCTGTTGTGACGGAAGGCCTGGCGGACGAGACGTACTCTGAGCAGACATCGTTCATCACTCTGGCAGACGGCAGCGTACTGTTCCGGGTGGAGCCACGCTTCGATGCAAGACCAGTAGCGCACGACCACAGAGGAAAGCTCAAAGATGGTGCTTTCGGAGAAACACCGCGTGGTGCCCACGCCCCAAATGCTACGGCAAACGACTGTGCACAACATTCCAGCTTGGTGCCGCTGCCTGTTCGCCGCATCTTCGAGGCCACAGGCGCAGAGGCTGTCAGCGTGCGGCTGACACAAGGCCGATGGCGTGACGATGCTTGGGGAGCCTACCCGTACGAACAGCAAACACCAATGATGGGGGCCGAGGTGGAAGCGACGTGGCCTTCAGCGTTGCGGGCATCCGTGCCCGATCGGTTCGAGCAGCTCATGCACATGCTCTCCGGCATGCTGTGCGCATCACTCTCCACCATCACGGCCGAGCACGTCATCTACGACACTGCCCTCTTCACCAGCGGCAGCAGCGATTCCCCCACAACCACAGTGCGCGGGTTCCTGCAACGAGAGGCCCTGTGCACCGAGAACCTGACACCACTGCAGCATCTACTGCCGTGCGGGCGCATTGCCGGCCTTGCATCACTGATTGACGCCAGGAAGTTCTTCTCAGGTGCGCACACGCAGCAAACCACTGGCCAGCGCTGTTCTTTGTTGTGTGTGTGTGTGTGTGTGTGTGTGTGTGTGTGTGTGTGTGTGCGATGACATGTTTTGGTGGAATAGTGTGTGCTGCAATTCTGCCTGCTTCGCTCACTCGCGACACACCCGCAACAGGTTCGTTTCACAGTCTTGGGTGGTCGGCCAGGAGAGCACACCGACAACTGGCAATCTCCCAGCGGCCATCGCCTGTCGTGTGCGCGGGTGACGTGAGCATGCACGTGACGATTGAAGCTGTGGCCGCCGACCACACTCGCGCTGTTCCTCTGTCACTCGCACGCAGCAGTGAGCATGCAACGCTGGAGTCGATTGATCTCGGTCGTTTCTACAACACCCGCACATGGAGGCAGCGCGCATGGTAGTGTTCGTTTCCCTTTGACCGCACCTCGCTGCTCTCTCGTGTTGTGAATCACGCAAGCGGCCCCTTCCTTACCCGTGATCAACACCAACCGCCAGCCACGTGTTTCCATTAACGCCACCACTAACACCATCGCCGCCGCCACCACCACCATTACCATCGCCTTCATCAGGTGCGCTGCTGCGGATGTCACCACGTTTGTGATTGACACGCGCCAGCAACTGCATCGCGTACATGTGAACGCTGAGCACCAAGGTGAGGCGCAGCGGTAATCCCGCGTGTGTTTGGCTGCTTGTCCGTGTGCTGGTATCTGCTTACGCCACTCATCTTGGGATCTTGTTATGCCATGACCAACATTGCCACCGTGGTACCAGGCTTCGCCCGCGTTGACAGCGACGGCGGCGCTCTTGTCCGCTTCACGCTCGCGGACACAGCTCAGACTTTCAACGAGCACGACGACAACAACAACAACAACAACAGCAACAACAACAACAACAACAACAACAACAACAACAACAACAACAACAACAACAACAACAACAACAACAACAACAACAACAACAACAACAACAACAACAGCAGCAGCAGCAGCAGCAACACGAGTTTGTCTGCGCCACCGCCCTCGCTTCGCGTGAAGCTGTCGTGGCAGCGCTCTGCACTCCTTTCGATATTGCGCAATCAAAATGGTGAGGCAGCTCCTGATGTTCCGCTGGCGGTCACCAAGGTTTACATCGGCCGTGGCACGTACAAGGGCGCCATCAGCACTCGGGTGAGTGCACACATGTGTTTGTTCTGTCCATGTCGCTGTCGGTCTTCGTGTTTTGCAGATCCAACGATCTTCATTTGGGTAATTTGCGTTTACCTTGTGCTCACACGGCTCTGGCTGCCTTGATTGTTGCAGATTCACAACAACTGGGACACGGCGATAGCGGTGCGCATGGTGCCATCATGCACCGATGCACACAGCCCTTTATGCCTTCCACGCATCTCTACGAGCACATGCCCACACAGGCAGGCACCACATTCACACAAACATTCACACAAACATTCACACAAACATTCACGCAAACATTCACACAAACATTCACACAAGCACACACCATGCAGCATAGCACATGCGCAAACCCATGTACGCTCTGTCTCTCTCATTGTGTGA